CCCGACTTCGAAATTCAAAGTCAAACACATATTGTTCTTGACAGAAGAATCAGAGGATTAAACTAGAGTTTGTAATCCGCAATATATTCATTTTAATTCAATAAATTTTCTTTATGCAAGTATTTCTTATTTGTTTAAATCGCCGATAAGAATTTGTTGCTACAATATTAATTTTGATTTGTGAAAACGACCCCCTAATAACTAATGGAAATAAAAATATCAGCATAATAATCCCATAATTCTCTCCCCCAAAAGAACCGAAATTATTGCATCATTCCCAAATATGTCGTAAAACAAAATTTACAATACCAAACTCTATACAATTTTTTTTAACGCAACTGTCATAGTCATCAATCCTCGAATCGTTTGCATAACTTCATGGCATCTGCCATAGTTACACTCCTCAAGTCATTTGCAATTCATATTTTCGCATTTTGTTTGCTATTTGGATTCTCTTCATATTCTCGTTCTTTGTTTGCTTTATGGTGTTTGTAATTTTCAAATACTTTTCGTTTAGTGTTTGCGAATTCCACTCTTTCCACTGTCTGGACAAAGCACCGCGTCTCGGAAACATCATTAATAATGGCAAAAAATGGTTCAAGCACGTATGAGCAAGAAATTGCAAACAATAAACTTCAAAGTGAAAATGAACAATTACAAAATATAAAAGAAAAATGCAACCGACACGAAGGTGTGGAACAGAGAAGAGATAAGAGACTGAAATAGTGAGAAAAGAAACGTGAAATATAGAGGAGATAGAGAGAGTGATTTGTGGGGTTTATTTTCTCACTGTACTAAAATAAATAGACACTAAGTGTACTTATATCTATATATAATTAGTTTTATTTATTGTTTTTTTTTTGTTATGATAAAACCCAAACATATATTAATCGTAAATAGAATCTCCACCCATATAACTTCAAAAAATACATACTCCAGCCAATCTCTACTTTAAAAAATGGGGATATATGCCAAACGCCCCTCATTAGAATTTTAATTCTTGATAAATCATTTATTTATAAATGATATTTGACATAAATCCAATGGGCCTGAAAAACCATATATACCCCCACTAACTATTAATTAGTATAATTATTTAATTTAAAAAGAAATATACCCATAATCTACACCCAAATCTTCTCCAAAAATTATTCCCCTTATCACGCCAATTAAGTTTTTTTTTTCCTTCTCTTTTTTATTTTGTTCAATTGTTTTCTTTATTTTGATTTAAAAGAAAATTTTGTAATTATTTATTTATTTTTTCGGTTTTTTATTTTAAATATTTTTTTTTCTTATTTATATTTTTCATGTTTTTTATTTTGATTTAAAAAAAATGGTTTTATTTCTATTTACGTTTTTTCATGGTTTTTTTTTTCTTAATTTCAAAGTTTTTTAAAAATGGGTTTTTTTATTTTCTTTCCAGTTTTTTTTTAAATAAAAACTACTCTATATAAACATGAAAACCACTCTATAAACATGAAAACCACTATAACAACTATATAACATGAAAAACACTATGTATAACAACTATGTAAACTTGAAAACCACTCTGTATAACAACTATGTCAACTTAAAAATCACTCTGTATATACAATTAAATAAAAATCTATACAAAAATTATTGGAAATCACTATAAAATTGTTGAAAACCACTATAAATTTATCAAAGACAAAGCCTGACATTATGAAAACTACTCTGTATGAACAACTATATATAAACATGAAAACCACTCGATATAAAACAATTATATAAACATGAAAACCACTTTATATACACAACTATATAAACATCGAAAATCACTATGAATTCTAACAAGAAAAAAAAATTCTGCGAAAAAGAAGCTATAAAACCACTATAAAGGATACCATCTTCTCTCGAATGAACCCTAGAGCATAGTCCCGTGTAATCATCTTCTTCTCGTTATTTGAAACGTAAACCACTATTTGAAAAAATCATCATCTTCTTCCTCCCATCAGCAATTTCGTCAAAAAAATCATCAAGAACAAAAATATTACCAAATTTAAAAGAACAAAAATTCAACCTTATATCATCACTTTCTCTTATCGCTTTATCGATCTCTATTTTCTGGCTTATAACAATATCAATTTTCCTGAATGAGAATTCAAAACAATAACAACAATAATGACAATCAATCACCGGATAATTAAACTCGAGAAGCTAGCAAAAGCGTGTCGTAACATAAGTCCAAAAAAATTTCAATTAAAAGAGTATTTAAATTCAAGCAAATCAAAATTACCAGACCAAACATAAGATAGATGTGAATTCCTGCGATTACTGGCAAAATCACATTTTCAACAACAAAGATTCACTTTCCTTCAATGTAGAAAAAAATAAAAAAAAAACGCACAGACAACGAACTCAACAATCACCATGTGCAATTAATTAACAAAAAAATAAAAAAGGTCACCATTGATGGGTTTAATACTTTAATTTAACAATGGAATTTCCACCTTATGCCGAAACGAAAATCAACTGAAGAACACGGGTAATGATAAATGAGAGAAGATTCAACTTCTAATACTAAAGAGGAAATTTGGTTCTGATGTGATTCAGGGATGGAATATTACCTCGTCTGAAGACTCTTCTGAGAAGTAAGAAAATTTACAGATGGCCGAGATTTGGAGAAGAGATCGCAACGTGGAGGAAGAGAGGCGGCTACCGTTAAAGAAAAGAGAGATAGAGAAGAAATATGAGGGAAAAAAGAAAATAATAACACGTGACTTTAAGGGTTAGGTAAAGGGTATAATAGTGAATTAAATTATTTATGAGTAATTAAATAATATTTTGAATTTATCTTAAAAAGGGAAAAAAAAAATTGGATCTCTCTTAATTGGACCATGCATATGAGGGCTGTTTGTGAAATAATCCCTTAAAAAATTCTTTAAAAATTTTGAAAACCCGTTGCAACTGCGCCAACTGCCGCAGCTTCTCCTTGTAAATATATACATAATAACAATGTTTTGAAACTCGGACCGGACCGGCCGGTCCAACCGGTTTAATCGCGAACCGGTGGGTGGTTCCGGTCTGGTTCAACCCAAAAACCCGGTTGAATAGCTAAAAACCCGTTGAATTACCGGTTCAACCGGAAAACCTCAAAAGCGGCCAAAACCGGGTTTCTGAAAAATAAAGAGCAGGGGGCCTGATTTCTTGCTGTGGTGGTCTGGATCTGGAGATTAAAAGTAAATCTTGTATGCCAATGGATTAAAAGAAAAAAATATAAGAAGAGTAAGCAAACGAAAACGAGAGTTACATGACTGGATAGCTGAATCTAAGGGCTTGAGGTAAGAACTTGGGTGGTCGGAAATAAAAAGAAACTTCTGGTGGCGGTTTGGATGGTGAGTGGATGGAACTGAAAGGATGAGAGAGAGAGAAGTTGGGTTGACGGGGAATTTGAACCGAAAGGACAAAATATTATAAAGATAAAATATTGAAAATAATGGAAAGAAAGGTAAGATACTACAATGAACAGTACAAATAAATAATAAACAAAGTAATGTATAATTACTTTTGTAAAATTCAAACATATGGCTGCGTATATATATGAATATTTTGGTGTTTTGTATTTAAGTTTTATGTATAAATATATATTATTGGATTTTTAATTGATATTTCTTAATATAATTGTATTAAAACTATATAAAAATAATAAATTGAAGAAAAAATACAAATACCCGGTTGAACCCCGGTTGAACCGGTCGAACCGTAACCCAGTTGGCCGTCCGGTTCGATACCCGGTCCGGTTTTCAAAACATTGCATAATAATGGTATAAAGTACTTATGAACCACACGTGGATAGTTGATGATAAATAATAGTAATATATATGAAGGACGCATTGATTTGTTGTATTCCAATACCGACATCTATGCATCAACAATTGAACATGCTCATCGGGATTCGATGCTAACAATTTGCCTGAAATGGAGTAATGAATGAATCAATCAAGATAAGATATTACTTATTATGACACCACACATGGATAGTTGATGAGAAATTAATGGGCATAATAAATAATAGGCTTAAATACAGTTTATTCTTAATAAATAAATAAATAAATAATTCAGTTTACACCTCTAAAGTATACCCATCTGTAACATTTATCACTAAATTATCATTTCTAACACTTACCCCTCAAGCTCAATTTAATTTGTATTTTGAATTCTAGTATATTAAAATTTTCTTTTTTATTTAAAGAAATAACTAAAAGAGTAACTAAATTATACAAATAAAAGTATATACTGAAAAATGCAATATTAAAAAATTAAAAATATTATATTGTATTGAGTATATATTTAATAAATAACACCTAATTGTTATTTGAACAAGTAATCAAATATATTCATATCGATAAATTTTAAGAAATCAATACATAATATTATTAGTAATCTTAAGTATTCAAATATATTTTAGTTCATTAATTTCATTAATTATATTTCCATTCATTATTATACAATATATATTACTTTTTAGTTTTTTCCAGTAATTTAATTTTTTAGTTACTTCTCAATTTTTTCTGATCCAATAATTATTAGATTGTCATGTTTATTAGTTTTTATATTTTAAAATATAAAATAATTGATGTTGAGGGGTAAATATTACAAATAATAATTTAGTGGAGTAAGCGTGGCGTAGGCTATACTTTAGGGGTGCAGAGTGTATTTTAACTCTAAATAATATATGAAGCCCCCATTTATTTTTTGTTTACCGACATATATACATGAACATGCTCATGTTATAAGGATTTGATGATAATATATGAATATTTGCCTGAAATTAGAGTAATAAATCAAGATAAGGTGGACTTTGAACTCAAATAAAGACGTTTCTTCAACAACCAACCAATTCTTTGGGCCTACTGCAGTTATATCATAAACTCTCATCTAATGCTAATTATTTAACTTAGTTTGTCTATAAATAAAGAAGACGACACAAACACATTCTTCATTCACTTATCAGTCTACTAGAAAAATGGGTTCAAAAGCAATAGTTTTTCTGGTACTTTTCTTAGCTATGGTTGTAATTTTCATATCATCAGAAGTTACAGCTAGAGATCTCGCCCAGACTTCTAATACAATTGACACGTGTAAGTATCTCATTACCTTTTGAGTGACATTGGTTCAATATATTTTTGTAATCACCAATTACTAAAAAAAATTCTTGAAATTAAAAGGTATATGCATGCAACAACAGTTCATTAGCGAGAAAATATTTGGAGCAAATATTAAAAGCTTTATATTTTTGTATATTTGGAGAAAACTTTATAACAACCCGAGTATTATTGTGTAATTTATATATATATATATATATATATATATATATATATATATATATATATATATATATATATATATATATATATATATATATATATATATATATATATATATA